CGACTGTCTCGCGTTGCTTTCCACTGAAATTCAGTTGGCTTTTGCTTAAAAAGAGCAAATGGCTTCTGTATTCTTGGATATCAAGGGGGCTTTTGATTCAGTATCGGTTGAAGTCCTTTCAGACAAACTCCACGCTTGTGGCCTTTCTCCATTAATTAATAACTTTTTGTACAATTTGCTGTCAGAGAAACATGTGAGCTTTTCTCATGGAAACTCTACAGCTTCACGATTTAGCTACATGGGTCTCCCCCCAGGGCTCATGTTTAAGCCCCCTTTTGTATAATTTCTACGTCAGAGAAATTAACAATTGTCTAAGTGACAACTGCACGTTGAGACAACTTGTAGATGACGGCGTAGTGTCTATGACAGGGCCCAAAAGGGTCGACCTGCAAGGTTCCTTACAGGATACCTTAGACAATTTGTCTTCTTGGGCTATTCAGCTAGGTATCGAATTCTCCACGGAGAAAACTGAGTTGGTCGTTTTTTCTAGGAAGCATAGCCCAGCACAACCAAAGCTTCAACTTTTGGGTAAACCGATCACTCATTCTATGTCCTTCAAATATTTTGGGGTCTGGTTCGATTCAAAATGCACCTGGAGATCCCACATTGAGTATCTGAGACGAAAATGCCAAGTAAGGATCAATTTTCTCCGTACAATTACCGGAACGTGGTGGGTAGCCCATCCGCAAGATCTTCTAACGTTGTACCGGACAACGATTTTATCGGTTTTAGAATACGGTAGTTTTTGCTTCCAGTCGGCGGCTAAAACTCACATCATCAAACTGGAACGGATCCAGTATCGCTGTCTTCGTATCGCGTTAGGATGCATGCACTCGACTCATACGATGAGTCTCGAAGTGTTAGCGGGCATGTTGCCACTCTCTGATCGATTTTTGGAATTATCCCTCAGGCTCCTCACCCGTTGTGAAGTTATGAACCCACTGGTAATCGAAAACTTTGAGAAGCTTCTTTAGCTAAACCCTCAAACTCGTTTTATGTCATTGTACTACGTGTACATAACACAGGATGTCAGCCCTTCGTAGCATAATCCCTATCGTGTTTGGTTCTCCGACTTCGGCAATTCTGTTCATTTTGGTTTATCCATGACGCAAGAGATTCACTGAATCCCAGAGCATCATCGTGCCATGATTACTCCGTCAATTTTCGCTGCAAAGTTTGGTCAAGTTGATTTCGCAAGATCGTTCTTCACAGATGGATCACTAATAGAGGCGTCCGCTGGTTTTGGTATTTATAACGAATTTCATAGCGCCTCTCGAATGCTTCAAGCTCCCTGTTCCGTATATATTGCTGAACTGGCGGCAATACATTATACGCTAGAAACAATCGCCTCACTTGCACCAGATCATTATATTATTTTTACGGATAGTCCCAGTTCTTTCGAGGTAAAGCACTCCTCGTATTTTCACATGAAAATACGAGAGTTTCTAAGTGCTTTATCTTTAAGATCTTTTGTCATCACCTTTGCATGGGTCCCATCTCATTGCTCGATTCCGGACAATGAGATGGCGGACTCACTTGCTAAGGTGGGCGCTATGGAAGGCGATATTCACGATCGACAAATCGCCTACGATGAATTTTTCTTCATTTATCGTCAACAGTCGCTCGTCAGCTGGCAGAATAAGTGGAGTGAAGGGAGTTTGGGACGATGGCTATATTCGATCATCCCTAAGGTGTCGAAGAGGTCTTGGTTCAAGGGGTTGGATGTGGGTCGAGACTTTATTCGTATGATGTCTCGCCTCATGTCCAATCACTATTCGTTAAACGCTCACTTGTTCCGTGTTGGGCTGGGGGACAGTAATATCTGTGAATGTGGACAAGGTTACCAGGACGCAGATCACATTATTTGGTCATGTGCTGAGCACCGTGGAGTCAGATCCGAGTTGTACGATTCCCTTCGGGCTCGAGGTAGACAACCTAATGTCCCAGTTCGGGATATTTGGGCTAGACGCGATCTGGGGTTTATGCAACTCATATATGTTTTCTTTAAGAATATTAACCATAGATTGTAAGTTTGATGAACCTTGTGTTTAGTTTGTATTTTGTGTGTGTGTGTGTGTTTTTTTTTTTATTTGTTTCTGTAATAATTGTTTAATTACAGAGTTGATATAACGTCGATAGGATTAAGTATATGTTATAGAAATAGTGAAATTTTTGAATCATAAATTATATTCCAAATCTCCTTTTCCCTCTTCCGATCCAAACAATTGTCATCCACTAACCTCGAGAAGACCGCAAGTAATCGGTAAAATCCTTTAATTTTAGATTTAAGACATTTATAATGTATAAAGAAAATGATAACTTGGCTCTGTAAAGTTTATTCGATTGAGCCTGTACAAATAAAGTAATTAACAAACAATGATTTTTAGGGCACAAATCTTGGACGGTTGGGACATCACTCATGAAATTGAAACTCCTTGTTGTGCTCTTGATTTTTGTTATGTGGTGATGAGATTGATCAGAAATAAGGCAACAAAGATGGCCGCAGTTTCGGCGGAGAAAACTGAGCATTGTGGCGGTAGGCTGCTACTCATCGGTGCTGAAAGCGATCCGTCCGTGTATATGTGGGCATGGGTTGGTAGTCCGAACCTAGTAGTTCGGCTACTGTTCTTCTCAGCGCTGCAGAGTTATCTCCAGCCTTGAACCTGCTCTTTATCCGACTCTCGATTTTTGGTAGAGGTATGCGCCAACTTTTGTCTCCGTACCAGTGGACCTTGGCCACAGGGGGGACCTCCGAATTGGCAGTCATGCGGAGGAGTCTATTCCCCTCATCGAGGAGAAAGATCCTGTTATTTCCGGAGGTCATTGCTGTAAAGGCGCTTGGAGGCGAACCAGCCTAAGGCTGAAAGCCTCCTAAATAAAGCTAAATAATAATAATGCTGTAAAGGCAGCGGCCCTCGTTGCAATTACTGCGGTTATGCGATGGCGGAAGGGCAGAATACCCGCTTTGATGCATGCGGCATCGGCGGGCGTTGACGGAAGAAGACCGGAGACAATCCGAACGTTGGTGCTAGTATCTGCACGAGCTTTTCGGTGGCGATGCACGTCATCTCAAGACCGTACAGTAGGCGACTATCGTTGACGGCTCTTGCAACCCGGAAACGAGTGTCGCGATTGTTAGACCAGTGGGGGCGAGAGATGGTGCGGATCAAGTTGATCCTACTGCGGCAGTCATTCTTGATCGCCTTAAAGTGCTGCTTGAAATTGAGGGACCGGTCAACAAGTACCCCCAGAATACGGACCGTCTTCTTCAGTGGTATGGGCTGCCTTGAACTTTGATAGGTGGCAAGCTGATACGGTGCAGGGATGGACACTTGTGGCACCAAACGCTTTTGGTGGTCGAAAGCTGGAAACCTACCGCGCTGGCCCACCTGGCTACAGCGGAGACTGCTGCCTGGGCCTTGATCCTGTTACGTGCTTCTGTTGGGCCGATAGTTACGATAAGTACATCGTCAGCATATACTAAAATGTAAACATTTTTCGGCAGTTCTCTGAAGACTCCGTTCATTGCCACAAGGAAGAGAGTAACGGCGATAACTGAACCTTGTGGGACGCCCGTCTCTTCTCTGAAAAGCTGAGCCCTCGTGTTGCTACCTGTGACTCTGAAAAAACATTCGGTCAGGAAATTTTTGATGGAGTGGACCATGGGTCCACACAGGTCCCAGTTGACAAGCTGTTCTAAGAAGAGGGGTGTCCACGTTCTGTTGAAGGCCTTCGATATATCCAGGAAGACGTTCTCGATGTGGAGACCGCTATCGTTGGCACTCATGAGGACCCTCCCTAATGTTGCGAAGTAAGTTTACGTTCCGTACCCTTGACGGAAGGCGTGCTGTCGATGGTCTAGCAGGTTTTCGGCTTCAAGGAAATACTTTAGCCTCCTGTTGACCATTCGCTCCAGGACCTTGGCAATACAGCATGTCAAGGCTATTGGCCGGAACTTACTAACTTCACTGGTTGTTTCATTGGTTTTTGGGATGGGAATGACTAAGCTCTCCTTCCACGACGCTGGATACGAGTTGGTGAGCCAGAGCTTGTTGAAAAGCTCCAGCATCCGTAACTGCCCTGGCATTGGTAACCTCTGGAGTAGAGAGAACCCGATTTCGTCGGGACCCGCCGACTTTCCGATGCTGCAGCGGAGGGCATGCTGCAATTCCTGCCAGGAGAATGCCTGGTTGGTGTCTGAGTTCTCAGCGTCAGAAGAAACAGAAAAATTTCCACTTGAATTCGTCTTTGTACTTCTCGATGGCTGCGAGATCGGCAAAGAACGAGCTGAGTTCGTCCGCTACAATTGCAGGGTCAGAAACCGCTACACCGTTAATCTGTACGTGGAGCGGTGTCATGCGCCGTTTTCCACTGAGGGCGTTGACTTGCCTCCATAAGTCGGCCGAAGATTGTGACGAATTCATTCCTTCCAGAAAGTCCATCCAGCTGGTTCGTTTGGCAAAACGGATTTCTTGCCGGCATTGATTGTGCGACTCATGGTAGTGACGGAGAGCGTCCTCGTGGTCGGGATGTCCGATAGGAAGGCGTTTTACATGGCGAAGTGCTTTACGCCGGGCTTTAACGGCTTTCCTCGTGAAAATGAGTTGAGACACAAAAGCAGCGCTGTATCATAACTTTTCAGATTCAAGCAGAACGATGTGCAACCAAATGGTACTCGATTATGACGACTAGGTTTGGGGAGAACATTTATTTCATGAAAACAGTGATAAAATTATCACTTTTTATTTGTACATTTTTCAACAGTTTTTAAAATAAAATTGAAAAAGCGTGTATAACAGGGTTATTTCCTATCGATTGGTGTATTTGGATTTTAATTTCATCTATAAATGACAAAGTTATAAGCGTTCAAAACCTTACACATTTTCGTGACGGTCGCAATTTTAGATTTTCGATTTACCCCCAGTACCTTCCCATAAGACGTAGTGTACGTCAAAAAGGAATTCACAGTTCTAATTCTGTCCCCCCGTCTTCACCCACAGGTAAAATGCCCCGAGTGCCGTGCGGAGCACCGCATCCCCTACCAGGGCGTGCAGGGTTTTCCGACCAACGTCACACTGCAACGATTCCTGGAGCTGCACATCGAGATCACCGGCGAACTGCCGGATCCGACGTCTGGTAAATGCCTTCTGCGGTCAAGTTTTTGTTTTTCAAAATGAGAACAAATTTTCCCCTTCCCCCCTCAACAGGCCAAGTGATGGAACGGTGCAACGTGTGCTCGGAGAAGTCTTACTGCGCCCTGTGCAGTCACTGCGACAAGAAGATCTGTCCGGACTGCAAGGGTGCCCACATGGACATCCTGCGGCGAGAAATCAATCGAATCAATAATCAGGTGCGTTAACGGGTGGTTATGGTTTTGGCACAGACAAACAGACGTAACTCTTGAAACAAAGTATTTTTATAATATTTCAAATGAATTTTAAATGCGTGTACGACGATTGAGGAAAAACAGGTTACGTCTGCTTATCTGTGATTTTGGATTCGACGTGAGGTAAATGATTTTCTCATTCCCAAATTTCAGATCCGACGTGGTTTGCACCGTCTGAAGGAGGTGCTCGCGGTGGTCGAGAAGAACGCCCAGAACCTGCAGAACAACTGCGGAAGCGTGTCGGAAGAGATCGATGAGATCTCCCGCCGCCTGCAGAAGGCACTCAAGGACCGAACGGATCAACTGCGTAGCGAAATGGACAAGTACATATCAACGGAGCTGAAGAATGTTCTCACGATGAAGGAAAATCTGGATCTGGAGATTGGCAACATTCAGAGTAATTCCGATCTGGCCGAGAAGTTCATGAACGAAGGATCGGTCGAGTGGGATGACTGTGAACTGATGGATACGAAGGAGATATTCTTGCGAACGGTAGATTTCATAAGGAATTTTGACTGCGAAACGATGGACTACAGCCGGAAGGTGCGGTTCATTATGAACATTGACCCGAACAAACTGATCATGGAGGTGTCGTCGTACGGGGATTTGAAGCTACCGACGGATTTGGCCGGTACGAGTCAAAGCCAGAGTATGCTGCTGCAGCCACCATCTGCACCGGGACTGATGCGATCGAAGAGTGACCACCGATTGGCCGCCCAGTTCCGACAGCAGGAAGCTCAAGGATGGAATCCTGACGAAGAACCCCTACTAGGTGGACGCAAGTTTGGCGAACGGCCTGTTAAACCGGTACAGGAGAAAGAGAAGTACGGAAATGAGTCTCGGTATGGTCGTGGAAACGATTATGACTATGACGATGAACCGTCTAGCAGGACTACGAAGGGACGCTTCCGGTCAAGGTTTGCACGGAGCCACCAGCTGGATAACGATTCCGACAATGAATCCAAACAAGTACGTTTCAACGAGAAGGACGAAAAGTCGAACAAGGTTACCAGCACCGAGGATGTGGCCAAGGGTCCGTTGAGTGGAATCTTCCGCCTGATGGACTCGCCACGTGTGATGAAGCGTCTACAGGATACGGAAAAGGGTAAAACCAAGAAAGCATCTCCCGTTACGACCCCAACAGTGCCGAAACCAGCTCCGGTTTCCGTGAAACCCAAGGTCACGACAGCGAGACAACTTTCCGAAGATGATGAGATTGCCAAGATCAAGCGGCAAAATAAGGGAGCATCAACGAGCTCGACTACCACGACGACTACTACTCCAATATCCCCAGTAGTTACCGAACCAGAACGTCCAGCTGCCGAACGCGTTTCCGCATTGAAAGCTCGGGTTACAGCGGCCGCAGCTGCCGCCGCCAACACCACCAGCGACGACAGTGATAGTTCACCTTCTTCACCGACTCGGCGATCGTCTCCGCATGTTGAGGTGAGATCCGATGACGAAACGTAACTCCTGCTTCGTTATAGAATACAAAACCAGAACTAGTATTATAAGTTATGCAATATGGATACACACTTAGACGAACAAAATACACCACAGTTTCAACGAAAAACGAAAAGACATCCCCGGAACAACCTACCGCTAAGTATTACCTCTTTACCGTATCCCTGTTTCAAGTCCCGATAAGTGTTGAATCGCGCGCTACTAAGCTACCATGTGTCCATTACCTCTATATAAAATCAAACCAGTCGCAGTTTCGCGTGCTAACGGCACTCGGTGTAGTTCACTCCCGGAGGAGGGCCATACCAAAAGAACCGCAATAAATGTCCCACTCCCGTAAATTCCATCCGTCTCGTGAATAACAACCAAATTGAATCTTCATTAGTCCAAACAAAAACCCAGCGCCACTCTCATCCTCTGTCTCTCGCCCTTTTATGTTCAACCGTGCCAGCGTGACCGCAACCTAGTGGCGGAAAATAATTCAATTTGCTCGAATGTCCCATTGTAGTGCCGAGCGACGTCCATCTCCACTTCTGTGTCGTATGCGAAATAAAAAAGAATCAATGTCAACGACTCACACATTGACCACTCGTACATGGCTAGGTACACACTCACTCACACGCACCCGTCGCTGGTGGTCATGCCGACCAACGAATTCCACCAGCAACCAAAGGCAACAAATCAGATGTTCAACTAATTAAATGCCCACCGCAATTAGATCTAACCTCATCAAAGTCTGTCATCAAATTGAAACAAACTATTCCCGTATCTCTCTATTCCCCTTTTCCTTTCCGATCGAACCCAACCCCAACCCGCACCCCGCCACCATCTCGCAGGCCGACAGTGATCAGGATGAATCGGAACGTTCGAGCCGTTCGCGGCAATCTCTCACCGTCAAGGCTGGAACACCGGCTCCGAGCCAGCAGAAGAAACCTACGCGCTCAGCCAGCAGCGAATCGAGCGAATCCAGTGAATCGTCCAGTGCTTCTCCGGTCCTGACGCCATCCCGCGTTGAAGAATCATCCCGACCCAAAGCATCGATCCTGAAGAACGTTGAACCGGCTCGCAATACCGCTTCTCCAACTTCCACCAGCTCATCGCCTACGGAGAAGAAACCTTTCCAGAGCCGCTTCCTGCAACCTCAGGCACAATCCCCTCAGCCCGCGGAGAAGAAAGAAGAATCCGAATCGAGCAGCGAAGAGGAAACCTCCTCCGAAGAAGAATCCGACGAGGAAGAAGAAGAAGTGGTCAAGCCAACACCAAGACCAACGCCAACGGTCACTTCCACTCCTTCTACGCATCATCGAACCGAACAACCCAGCACGCCGCTATTGAGCCGAGTCCAGGCAAGGGAAGCTGCCACAGCTGATTCTCGAAAGAACTCCCGCGAAGAAACCCGCTCCAGTGGCTACTCCAGTCCCACCAGCTACCACCGTAGCAACTACGAGCGTGACGAGAGCCCCAAGTATGGATCGCCGTCGTCGTCTTCCGCCCTGCGTTCCCGAACGACCACCCACGTGGAACCGGAACCGGAGAACAAATACGGCAGCTCTGGGTAATGTTACACGCTTAGCTCAGACCGCACTAGCCGCTTGCTTTTCTTCTTTTTCTTTCTCGTTTCTTCTTTGAATAGGACCTGTTTCCTTCCTGTTACAGATACACCAGCCGGTTCCTGAACAAGAGCAAGAGTACGGCCGTGGTTGCCGATGACGATGCCACCGGAGACGACTCCGACAGTCGTCTGGGAGGCAACAGAAGTCGGTTCAGTGCCCTGGCCGATAGGAGAAATCGACTGGCCCGAAGCCGTTCGTCACACAACTTCGGCAATGACGATGAGGATGATGAGCCGGTTTCACCGACAACTTCCTCGCCGTCGGCATATCTCGCTTCGAGGTAACGTTTCAGATCACTGATTATCGATTACTATGTACTAGCTTTCTGATAACCTTTCAGGTACGGTGCCTCGTCTTCCCTAGCATCGCAACCGGCTGACCTGTCTCGTAGTCGTTCGACCCATGCCCTAAAAGCTCGTGAACCGTCGCCGGATCGCAGCACCGGCAGTGATAAGGACGGAGCCGCCCTCAGCTCGTGGGCCCGCTACCTGAAGAACAAGTATGGCAACCGGTCCACCAAGGACAGCAAAGACACCCCATCCAGCTCGTCGCTGTCCGCCACGTCCTCCTCACTAGCCTCACCATCATCATCCTCGTCAGCGTCGTCTGCGGCAGCCGCCCGACGACTGAGCCTCGGTCTTCCCCTGCGCCAGACCGACATCCTTAGCTCCGATGACGATTCAAAAAACGGGGTAGGCTCCCCTACCTCTCCTACGGCAACAGCAGTAGTCGGTATACCAGGGGCAGCAGGTATGTCCCCTAGGACGCAGTACCTGCAAAAGCGCCGACAGCTGTTCCAGATAGGAGGTCGGGGGAGCGAACCCGGTTCCTTCACGTGGCCCCGCGGCATCTCCGTGGGTCCCGACAATAGCATCGTGGTCGCGGATTCTTCCAACCATCGCGTCCAGGTGTTTGACTCGAACGGTATATTTGTGAAAGAATTTGGCCAATACGGCAATGGGGACGGGGAGTTTGACTGCCTGGCCGGCGTTGCCGTCAACCGCATCGGACAGTTCATCATAGCCGACAGGTATTCCGGGTCCTTGTAATGATTCCAAACTTAACTAACTTGAATTGTCCTGTCCATTCCACCAGATACAACCACCGCATCCAAGTGCTGGACCCAGCCGGACGCTTCCTGCGTTCGTTTGGCAGCCAGGGCACGGCCGATGGCAAGTTTAACTATCCGTGGGGTATCACCACCGATGCGCTAGGCTTCATCTATGTTTGTGATAAGGAAAATCATCGTATTCAGGTATGCCAACAGAATGCATCATCAAAAATTCCACCTAACAACTTCAACCCAATATCGTAGGTATTCCAATCGGACGGCACCTTCATCGGTAAATTTGGCAGCGGTGGCAAGGAGGAAGGCCAGCTCGAACATCCGCACTACATAGCCGTTTCCAACACAAACCGTGTCATCGTTTCCGATTCGAACAACCATCGTATTCAGGTGAGCTGCTCGTGTTGACGGAATTTCATCCATTTTCGGGGTGTGAAATGTTTGATGAAGGAATTGGACCCCAGGTGAATGAAAAAAAAATCTCAAACACACAAACCGAAAAGGAATCCATCGCACACGTGTCATTTATCCCTTGTCAACGATTTTCCGGAATGGATCCGCTCCGATTTCTCGATGTCCGTTTTTCCGCTGGCCTTTTCATGTTTACCGATCCACATGCCGTAGGCAAAGCATCACACATATGTCACACCTTTATCTTGAGGTCGTCGCCGGCAGCAGACAGCTTGTGACAGTGTGGCCATGAAAGGATATTCGATAGCGGTCTGGTGCCGTCTGTGTTTGCCTTGTGAAGCAATTATCATTGATTGGTTATTCCGATTAGCATTTTTTTTTTTGGTTTCATATCAAATGGAGCATTGCTGGACATTCGGATTGATTTCCTCCACGCGAAACGTGAGAAGAAGACACATCTTCTTATCTTAAGGTGGAATTTTCGGAAGTTTCAATCCCAATTGGTTGATGCATTATTTCAGATTCCAAAAATCTATCGTTATAGCATTCTTCCTGTCGTTTTTGATACGATGACGATTGATCTTTTTTTTTAATTTTAATTGGACGGGCTTTGAAATTTTCGAAAATGAATCTAATTTAATTGCACTTTAACAAAGCTTCTAATCACTCCAATGAAATGCCACGCATTTAGTTTGTGACATTTACCGACAGGTTATCCACTTCAATGAGCAAATAGATAAAAAGACAATCAGTCAGACGAACATTGAGAACGAAATATTGGTCAATTAGAAATTGATCAAATGCAAATTGGTCAATTTAAAATTGACCAACTGAAAACTGACCATTTGAAATTAACCGATTGATTTTTCAATTGTTAAAATTTTTATCTAGGTAATTTTCAATGGGTAAATTTTTATTTGGTCAATTAAATGAAAATTTACCCATTGAAAATTAGCCAGATAAAAATGTTAACAATTGAAAAATCACCCAATTTAATTTGTTCGAATTGAAAATTTACCAATTCAATATTGACCCAATTGACAATAAACAAAATTTAAAAACTACCCAATTCAAAATTGTTCAATTTAAAAGTCACCAGCTCACAAAAACCAATTGGAAAATAATTGGCTGATAATCATTCAATTGAAAATTGACCATTTGATAATTCACAAATAAAAATTTGACCAATTTAAAATTGACTTCAATTAAAAATTGACCATTAGAATATCAACCAACTAAAAATTTATCAATTGCCAAACTGAAAATGAACCAATTGAAAATCGCTCAATTTAAAATTAACCAATCGAAAATTGACCAATTCTAGATAGAGCTGGAATTAGGGCGAAACAGCTTTCGTAAACAATGACTTCTATCGATGATTTCTAGGAACTCAAGGCACGCCCACGCAGACCAACATATCCATCGGATAGGGGAAGTCTTTCCCCACCTGGTGAGGATGTTGATTTGCGTAAGTGAGCCTTGAATTTCTAGGAATCATCGATAGAAGTCATTGTTTACAAAAGCTTTTACGGCCCTAATTCCAGCTCTATCTAGAAACTTACCAATTGTTAATTAACCAATTGAAAAATTTTCGAATTGAAAATTTACGAATTTAAAATTGACAAATTGAATTTTTTTTTTCAATTCAATTGACCAATTGAAAATTGACCAATCTAAAATAAACCACTTCAAAAAATTTCGTATTTAAAATTTACTCAATCCATTGATCCAATTAAAAATGAACCCAACTGCAAATTATTTATATTGAAAATTTAACCAATTGAGCATTAACCCAATTTTAAGTTTATCAAATTGAAAATATACCCTCTTGAAATTGACCAATTTAAAATTTACCACATGAGAATCGACCAATTGAAAATTTTAAAAATTAAAATTGCCCCAATCGATGATTAACGGATTTTAAAAACGAATGAATATAACATAAATATTATTAATTTGCCAATTTAAATTATCCCAAACTGAACAATTTCAAATTGAGCCAATGTCAACTTGATCCAACTGAAAATTTACCCAATAAAAAATGACTCAAAAATTTTCACCCAACTGAAAAGTTAATGAAATGAAAATTGTCCAATTAAAAATTCAACAGTTGAAATTTGCCAAATTCCAAAACAATTTTATATTTGACACATTGAAAATTCACCAATCAAAAATTGACCAATTGTAAATTGTCTCGATTCAAAATTGACCAATTTGATTTTAACAAATTGAAAAATTTCCAAACGGAATTTTTTAATTGAAAAATTTACCAATTAATAATCGACCAATTGAAAACAAACCAATTGAAAATTGACCAATTGAAAACAAACCAATTGAAAATTAATCCAATTTAAAAAAGATCCAACACTAAATTGCCATTATTAAAAATTTACCCAATCGAGCATTAACCCAATTAAAACTTGATCCAATTAAAATGAGCTCCAATTAAAAATTAACTAATTGACTAAATACCCTATCAAAAATTAATTCAATTTAAAATCAACCCCAATTAAAAATTTGCCGGTTGAAAATAAATCAATTACAAATTTTCCAATAGAGAATTTACCAGTTGAAAATTAACCGATTGAAAATGTGAGGTAGTGAAAATTTACCAACTTAAAATTTACCAATCTAAAATCAACCAATTGAAAATTGACTAATTGTAAATTGACCAATTGTAAATTGACCAATTGTAAATTGACCAATTGTAAATTGAACAATTGTAAATTGACTAACTGAAAACTGACCAATGGAAAATTGACCAATTGTTTATTGACCAATTGAAAAATGACCATTTGAAAATTGACCAATTGAAGATTGACCAATTAAAAATTTACCAATTGAAAGTTGTTGAATTTTTAATTGACCAATTATATATTGACTAGACCTGTGCGCCGCCACGCCACGCCGCCGCCGCCGACGATTTTCATACGCCGCCGCCGCCGATGAAATTGAACCGGCGCGCCGCCACAGTAAAATTGTCCACGCCGCCGAATAAATTTATGTCACGCCGATGATAAATCCGCAACACCTCTTCGGTAAAATGCATCTTGAATGCGTTGCAATTAGAACGTGTGTGCACGCTCGTTCATGGCTACTCAAAATTTAGTGAAAACTCACTCAATTTCATTACAACCGGATCTACTCTAAATTTAGTAACATAGCCAGAACTAAATTTTGAGTAAAATGGCGAGGTACTTGTTGATGAGTTATTTCTACTCATTTCCATAGCATCCAAAATAGAGGAAAATGAGTCCAAAATACACAAATGGGCAAATATTTCGTGTCTTTTCGTTTTTTCATTAGGATTAATAAACCATAAACTGAAAAACAGTTAAATCAAGCATCAAATAAAGCAAAATGCAAACCAATTACCATTTAAATTGCGGTACGTTTCTGCATCCACGGCGGCTGCAATTTGCATCATTTTCGAATGAATTCTTTCGAAATTTTCAAATTTTCTTCTACGATGGAAAGGAAAACTTCGTATTTTTACATTCTCACAATCAGGGCTGAAAAATTGCATTACAGTTAAAATGCTACTTTTAGAAATTATGAAACTATGGGATATTGAAATAATAATGTTTATATGTAAGATACAAGAAGAGGAGGTAAAGCTTGTGTAGGACACATAAAACCTGTCAATGTCAATTCCAGAGTGTCGCAATTAGCTATTAGTTATAACGAAGGGTATTCACTCATTGAAATATCTCATTACAGCTAAAATAGCTAATTGTGACCCTGTGAATGCAAAATTGACAAGATTTATGTGTCCTATACAAACTTTACCTCCTCTTCTTGCATCTTACATAAAAAAATATTATTATTATTATATCTCATAGTTTCATAATTTTGAAGAGTGGCGTTTTAGCTGTAATGAGATTTTTCAAGCCTGCTTACAATTCCAGTTTGTTTCTTTTTGAGTCAACAAATGTGCTGAAATCTCAAAATTGAGATCTGCTTTTATTTATTTATTGTTGGGTCCAGGCTTGTAATTGCTCATTGCAGCTAAAATGCTATTTTTCGTAATTATGAAACTATGAGATACTATAATGATAACTTTAATTTGTAAGAAGCAAGAAGAGGTGGAAAAGTTTGTGTATGACATATAAACTTTGTCAATTTTGCTATAAGAAGGTCATAACTATCGATTCTATGATCGCTGATTGCTCGCTCATCGCGTTGCTCATCGTTACAGCTAATCGCTAGTTGTGACCTACTGATAGCAAAACTGACAAATGTTATATGTCATACACAAACTTTTCCACCTCTTCTTGCTTCTTACAAATTAAAATTATCATTATAGTATCTCATAGTTTCAAAATTACGAAAAATAGCATTTTAGCTGTAATGAGCAATTACAAGCCTGGTTGAGTCAATGTTGCTCATATTCAGAAATCCCAACTACTCATGCTTTGACGTTTCGAAAGAAGTTATGAAAATGAAAATGTCTGACTCATGTTTGAGTAAACTCAAAAAAGCCTGTATGAGGCAACTATTTAGCGTCATTTATAGCGAATTCGTTTATTATCAGTGCGAAACCGAACTTTTTGGCAGTGCGAACCTCAACCGGAGCTGGGTTTTAAAAACAAACGAGCAAACTGACGTTTGTCAGAAAACAAGCAGACCCAATTTTGACACCCGATCCAGATTAGAACTGAATAATAAACGAATTCGCTATTAGTTTTTTGACGTTTGTTCACACTTGCTCTATCTAGCACACAGGGATGCATCACTATTTGTCCTCCTGCTCGTACTTGTTCGAGATTGCGTTTTGATGCGCTGATCAAACGTCAAAAATCTCAGTTCACTGGTTTCGTCTCGATGAGCAAGAACGGCCAGATCTACAGGTGAGGCAGAAGGAAACTTGCCGACTCTTTCTTTCTCTCGATCCGACGAGAACACCGGATGAATGAAACAGTCGACTTACGTTTCCTTCTGCCTCACATATAGATCCTGCGCATCGGTCTCGTCTTTAC